AGAAAGAAAGAAAGAAAGAAAGAAAGAAAGAAAGAAAGAAAGAAAGAAAGAAAGAAAGAAAGAAAGAAAGAAAGAAAGTCTTAATTTCCTGGTCAGATTTTTCCCCAGCCAGTCATTTACTTTTGCTCACTTGGTCAGTTGTTAATTGTGTGACTGGCTTCTGGCTTGAAAAACTGGAAGAAAATAAAAACAAACGCACCTGCCAATCGCTTCCCTCAGCCCGTTTCTGCGCAGACTACACCTGTTTGGGGGGTGATGTGTGTGTGGAAGGGTAAATCAAAGAATGTACCGAGGCCAAACAGAAGGAGGGCTCCAAGTTACCTTGTGTGGCTGGGGGCTGCTCTGTACAAGCCCTGAATTAGGGCTCTAGACTCTGTGCAAAGGAGAGAGGAGGAAACAAGTGTCTCTATTTTACCTGATTCCTTCACACTTCTCTTCCCTCCCCCGCTTTGCGCTCTGGTTTAATCTCCCTGCCTGCTCGGTTTGTTTATTAAAAGCCACGCGGAGCAGTCAGCCCTTTTTCACATATTCAGACTTTTTCGTCTTGCCCACGAAGGACATTGAATAATTCAAACGCAGCAAAACCTGCTCAGGCAGGCCACTCCGGCTGGCATCAAATGGAGAAGACAGCCCCGTCTTTCCTAGACAAGCCAGCAGCAAGGAGGCATATTTTTGCTGCCCCGGAGCTCCCGGGGAAACTGCGGGAGGAGGGGGCTCAGAGTCTGGATCGGGCTAATAAAATTAGTTCTGGAGTGAATCGCCTCCTCCAGCCGCCCAATTCAACTTTAGAAGAGGCTGAATGGCCAGAATTGGGAGTGGGTGCCCAGCACACAGAACTGCCTGGCTCCCAGTACAATCTTGTACCAGCCTTTCCATCTGCCGGGAAGAATAGGATTAGACACCGAGGCTATGTATAGGTTTAGCAAGCCTTAACCAAGCAACGGATGCCCTCACACCCAGAAGAGCGGGGGAGAGGGGTTAGCACCAGCCCTTTGATTCTGGGGAAGACGAGCAGGCGCCCAAGGGGCAGCATCGCAGAGCCAAGTCTCCTGCAGCCTCCAGCCCGGAGGACGGGCTGGGCTGCTTTGCCCCAGGCGGGCACAGGGAAGGGAAGGGTCTTTGTGGCAGGAGATGCCGATGGAGAGCAATCGCTTACCTGGGCAGCAAGGGGACCTGTTAGCGGCTGGGAAGCAGCGGTCCCTTCCCGGGCCAGCCTCTTCCTCGCCTCCCCATCGGAGCCAGGCAGAGGCGAGCGCACTTGGGCTGCTGCTCGCTGGCTGGGGAGCTGCTGCTGCCTCCGCCCGGTGCTGGAGGGGCTCTGCCTCTCGGTCCTCGGCTCTTGCATAAGTAGCTGCCCACCGCGCTGGTGCTGAAGGCTCTTGATTTGCTCAGCTGCCGAGCGGGGCTCTCCCGCTCCCGCGCCCTCTCCCTGATGCTCGCGGATTTGGCTCCCGTTGGTAACTCCTCCAAAGGCGCCCAAGCCAAGCAGCTGGCGCGGCCGGGCTCGCAGCAAGGAGCTGTCCGAGCCTGGGGTGCTGATCCCGACTGGGGACTGTCCCGCTCCGAGGGGGGTGGGTGGCGGGTGCCCTAGGGCCGGGGCGCAGCCCCACGGCTCCCACCCACCTAAGGGACAGGGTCTGCAGGGGCAACTGGCTCATGGCACCGGGGGGCACCTAGGGGCTCCCCCACGGAGGCGCCCGGCAGAGAGGCCCCACTCAGGCCCCAAACTGACCCCCCTGGCACCCCTGCCCTCAGGCCCCATACTGCCCCCCTCCTCCAGGCACCCCTGCCCCCGCATCCTCCTGCTGTAGCCTGACCACAGCCTCAGTGGCAACACGAGCACAGAGCCCTTGGCTCAGAGACAGGCCCTGGGCTTTCCCAGGGGCTCCCGGGGTGCGTCCATGAGGCTGGCATGGAGCCTGCGTCTCCTCGGGTGTCAGGGCCCTGAGCTGCCCATGGGCCATAGGCCAGCTGGGCTGGAAGGTCACATCAGCCTCCAGTGCAGCTCCCCACTTTGCCCCCTGGGGCCACGGTGGCCGGGGGTACCCTGGAGAGCACTGGGGGCTACAGCCCTTGCCGTGCCCCCTCCAATACACCAGCTCTCCCTGTTCCCCACCCAGCCAGGCTTCCCCTTAGCCCCTGGCTGCCCTGCTGTGGTTGGTGCTGGTCCAGGGGTGTGATTCACCCAGCCACCGGCACTCCCAGCCAATGCTCTCTGCTCAGGGCTTCCCTGTGGGCCAGGGATGCTGCCTGGGCTGGCAAATGGCCTGGGGGCTGCAGCCCACCCTGCTCGGGAGTGCACCTTGCCTGACAGCCCCTGGCCATCCCACACGCCCACCACCCCCTGGCCAGCTGGCCTAGCTCTGGAGAGATGCCTCTGCCCCAGGCCAGCCAGAGCCTCCCCAGCTCCAAGAGGATGGTGGCTGGGCTGAGGTCCCAGGGGCTAGTGGGGCTGCAGCTGATTTCATTGCTGTTTGATCTGATACACTGATTCCCCCTACAGAGCCAGGCAAACCTCCCTGCTAAGACCTAGACAGAGCCCTGGGCACAGGAGAGCCTGGCACCCCAACCCCTACACACAGACTGGAGTTGGGGGACTCCTGCCTGCATCTCCCTAGGAAGGGCCCTTTCCCTGACCCTGCCCTCTTTTGGTGTCACTCTTCACAAACATGCCTAGCAGAGCCCTTGCTTAGCAGTCCATGCAAAGAGCACCTCTTCCGCCAGCCCTGGGTGACATTTCAGGCCTGGAGGAGATGTGCCTCTGGAATTCAGCCCAGCAGGGATGGTCCAGGGATAATTAACCCTGCTGGGGCAGGGGGATGGACTCGTGGCCTCCTGAGTCTATAAATGCCCCTCACCCTGTGCCCACCCCCTCACCTCTCTGCTGTAGGCTGCTTCCTACCTCCAGGCACGTGCAGACCAGAGGAAGACCTGTTCCGTTTCCATGGGCTCTGATGGAGCTGACAGCTGGAATCACATGGGGGTGGGGGGGAGCTGATTAGCATTTGGAGACCAAGGAGATCTTCTCCCTAAGAGGGGATGGAGATGGGAGGGGCCAGCTGTGCTGCTGAGCTCTGGGACAGAGCAATGGGGCTGTGATACCCAACATGCCCTGCTGGATGTTGTCATCAGCCTGGGATTGTCCTTGGAGAAGAAGCTTCATCTCAGGGCATTTCCCAGCTCCTTCCACACTCTCTGCACCCCAGCCGGATCCTTCTCCCCAACCTCACCCGCTACACAATATTCCCCCTGACCTGAACCATACACAATGGGAGAGGGCTGGAAAGGTGGATGTGAACCCAAACCACTGCTGATGCCCATCACTAATAACCTGAATGACATTCTGTGCCATGGTCCCTGGGGCAGTACTCTGCAGCACCTTGCATTGTGCCCCACGCTAGCACCCTGCGCTGTGCACCCTGGCCCAGCACCATGCACTGTGCCCCCCTGCTCCAGTGCCCAGCGCTGTGCATCCCAGCCCAGCACCTGATGGTGTGCTGCCCCATCCAGCAGCCCTGAACCCTGCACAAGACTCCTTGACCCAACACTCTGTACTGGGATCCCTGGCCTGTCCCCCTGCTCTAGGCCCCCTGACCTGGCCCCCTGCACTCGCTGGACCGCTTACAGACTTCACCAGTAGAAAAGCCCCCTTTTGCCATCCTGTTCTTAGCTGCAGCATCACCAATAACCAGATCTTGGATCTGCCTCAGACTCCAGCCTCTAGTCCTCCCCCCGCCCCCAGTCATAGTTCAGCTCCACCCCAGTGAATGGCCTTTTCTTCCATTGCATTTCATGGTGCATTGCATAGCTAATTATGAGGAGCTCATTACCTCCCTTTTGCACTGAACTCATACCGAAGTGACCTTTCGACCCAACCTCTGCTCTGGCAGGCGATCCCTTGTGCCACTGAATCTTGTGCATCCACAACCAGCTCACTGGGGATGCAAACGCATGTGATCCACCTGCACCCACAACACCCACTGTAAACTTAAAGTGAGACACCAGGGTGTGCTGCTTCTCTAGTGCAGTGCAGGCAGCCTGCCTAGGGATTCCTTCTGTGGTCCCCACTCACTCTGTCTACCAAACCATCCCTGCTGCCAGTCTGCCTTCAGTGAGCATTAAATACACATCCCCAGTCCGGGGGGTGTCTCTGCCCAGGGACAGAGATATGAACTCTGCCTTCCCACAAGGAGGCTGTTTCTGTCCCTCAGAGCTAAGAAGAAGTGGAGCACTCAATAGTAGAGCAATTCTGTAGCCATGTGCAAGAAAATTCATTGCTAGTGACCAGCTGATAATAACGAATCACCATATGAACTAGTGGCTAGAGTAGGCGGGGAGCTGGGTTCTATTTCTGGTCTCTGTGTGACACAGAGTAGGTCACATCACCTTTCCATGCCTCAGTTTCCCCTTCTGCAAAATGGGGGTAGTTCTATCTATCTTCTGCGGTCATGTGGGACTTAATTAACTGATGTTGACAAGGGGCTTGGAGATCAGTGGTTGAAAGGTGCCATATCAATGCTGGGGCACTGGCCTGGGGGCCAAGAAACTGGGGTTTTAATCTCTGTTCAGCCATGAACTTACTATTGGACTTCTGGCATCTCTTGGTTTCCCCATTCCTGAAATTTTCCTTGTCTGATCTATTTAGACTGTTAGCTGTTAGGAGTGGGGCAGCGATGCTGTGTGTATTTGGACAGTGGCTAGCGTAGCCACTCCTAGTCTTGCTTGTGGTTTGTAGACAAATCAATAATAATGACATTTGGGATTTATATAGCTCCCTCCATTCAAGGATCTCAGAGTGCATGAGCATGGTGAAGCGGTCCCACTTGGCCATGACAACAGCAGAACTGAAGGAAGAGAGAACACCCTTGCTGGAGAGGATGCCCACGTGGTCCTGAGATGTTCTCCGTAAGTGTTCAGTGGAAGTTGATGGTAAACCAAGTTGGGGGGGAGGCTGATGGGATGGAGTCAGCCATGGGAGAGGGGAGGGTGGTGGAGAGAGTGGACCAACTTAACGAATAAGTCAGTGGAGGAGAGAAGGGGGGTGCGATTGGCAAAGGAGTCTCTGATGTCACTGATCACAGGAGAGCCGAGTAGAAGGATGGAAGGGGTGGTTGTGTGCAGTGCTGAAGGAGATGCGTTGGTGACCAGAGAGAGGGGACGCAGCGATGGAGTATGAAGTTTCAAACAGAGGAGGGGAGCTTGGGGAGATGGGATGTGAACATGGAAGCTGAAGTCACTGACGATGAGGGTGAGAGGAGGGGAGAGCCAGGAGGCGAGGATCAGAGAGGAAGGTGGCTGTGGAGGAGCCCAGCAGGGGAGCCTGGGGAAGGGTTGTTCCAGGGAGCAGACAGTGGGAAGGGAGAGAAGGGATCTGGAAATGGAAGATGTGAGAGAGCAGAAGTTCAGCTATTCCAGCATGTTCCTTTGTGGAGCAGGAACACACTGGCAGCCCCAATCAGTAGTGGAGACAGGCTGGCGGATGACCATCCTGGCTGGTGCCTCATGGAGGGCAGCGAGCCATCTCTGGCACCAGAAATTTCCTGAGCTAGGAAATGTGGATGTTGGGCAGATGCAAGTCTCATGTAAATGGAGTGCAGCTGCTGCAGGTTAATTGCACATCACATGCCATGCAGCTGCCAAGCCAGCAAGCAGCGCAAACATAGAGATTCAGGCTCAGAGCCACTTTCTTCAGGGGAAGGGCCAAGCACAATGAACTCACTAGTAAGAAAGATTATCCCCTTTCCAGCCTGGACCTGCCTGACAAGTGCCCCGTCTGCGACTCTACTTTCCAAACCAGCCTCCAAGAGTGCAGCGGGGTGGAACAGGAGGTTACTGACCAGCCCCTGGAGGTTCTTCGAGATGTGTGCTCCATATCTGTATTCCAGTGGGGATTACGCATGTGCATCATGTGCCCGGAGCCAGAGAATTTGAAAGTAGTGTCCACTGGTCCACGCATGCACCCTGGCTCACCTCATGCGGATCAAGGTGAAAAAGGGTGGGGTGGACTCCCCACCTCTCCAGTTCCTTCTCCATTGCACATCAGATCTGAAGGAGAGGGGAAGGAGGATGGGCAGTGGCATACAAATAGGGATGACACATCTTGAAGAATCTCTAGTTACAAGTAAATAACCTCCTCTTCTTCTTTGACTGATGGTCCCTATTGTATTCCACTGTGGGTGACTGACAAGCAGTACCTAAGTAGGAGGAGGGTAGGATTCAGCAGAATATCACTGTCGCAAAGGAGGTATGAGCAGAAGCGTCCTCCACCAGGACATAATGTGCAAAATGTGTGTATGGAGCCCCACATTGCCGCTTTACAGATGTCCAGGAGGGGCACTGCCTGAAGAGATGCCA